TTATACAAATAACATACACATTGTATTTTCTAGAATAGAGATAAGCAGAAAGCTTAATAACCATAAAAGGACAAATATCAAATGATCCCACTTATATAGAGGTTATATAGGGGCTACCTAGAATAGGCATATTCATAAAAACAGTATGCAAAATAGCAAAAGCAGGGGAGTGGGGAGAGTAGGAAATGGGAATGACTGTTTAAGGGGTATACAGTACCTGTTTAGTGACAAACATTCTGGAAATATTTAGTGGTAATGGTCCTACAAGATTACAAATGTATTTGCTAAATTGTACACATAATAACCATTAAAGGATATTTTTATGGTTTTCAATGGGATATTAAATTTTTAAAGTTACTACATCTAGAAAAAAATAAGATTAGAAATTAAAATCTCCCAGAATTCTGCCATGTAGAGAGACCTGCCATCAGTGCCTTGCTGGCTATCCTTGCAAACACAAATCGAAATGGATGGCATGTTTCACAAAAGTAGTACCCTGCCTGGTAGCTTCCTTCTTAGAAATATATAGTATCTGCCCATGTTTACAGATGCACACCCACAGCCTTTATTTTGAAGCCACATGATATTCTATACTATAATTAACTATGTTGGGATTGTAGGCATTATAAACTATGACTCAAGGGACATCCCCCAGACTCTTGTCCAATTATATTCTTAGTGGAGTGCTGATTCAGGGGGCCCCCTCAGGAAGGTTGTCTCAATGAGCAGAGAGAGTAAGCTACTCCAAGGATGTGAAGAATTCTGTCTTACAAAACTCTACCCTCCACATAGATCTTCCTTCAACTCCACTTGGGTTCCTAAAAAATTTCATAGTGTTCAGGAAGTTAGACTGTCTTTTCCACAGAAGCCACCCTAACCTCCCTTCTCAGGCCTCCATGGCCTCACATCTTGTGTGGGGCATGAAGGGCAGGCAGGGTCATCCTGGGTCAAAGCCTGCTGCACTTCTTATCCAGCAGGGCACCCTAGCACCTCTTAAAGGTGCCCAGGGATGCTCACCTATGAGGATGGACACATGCTTTTGGAAAGTCTGTTGTTCAAGACTTCAGTCTTGAATATATGTTTAAAGAAACCAGGGGCTAGAAGAGACCCATGGAACCACATAGTCCCTTGCTTTTGAGAGGAGGAAGAAAGGCCCAGAAAGACTCAGCATAAATGTCTCAATAACCATCTTAGGGCCCCAGAACTGTCTCCCATGGTGATTCAGCCAAGTCAGAACAAATTTTGGACACCCGGGACAACCATCCTCCCCATCACAGTGCATAAAACTGAAAGTGAGATCACTGGGCTATATCCCAGCTCAGCTGTGGCCAAAGGAGTCACACAACTCATGTCTTGCCAGCTCAGTGTTCAATGGCATCATGCTGATAGCTAAAAAGCCAGCCATAACGGGAATATTTACACTACAGAAACAGGTGAACACCCCAAAGCAAGGCTTCCCTGTGCCCTGCTTCTGAGAGGTAGCCATTACAATGCTACAGTGTATCACTGGCCAAAACCTAACTATGCACCCCTCAGTGGTTAAGAGCACTGGTTGTTCTCCAAGCCAAGTTCGATTCCTACCACCTACATGGAAGTTCACAACCATCTGTAACTCCAGTTCCAGGAAATCCAATGTCTTTATCTGACCTATGCGGACACCAAGCACTCACTCGGCATACATGTACACATGTGGGTATTTACCTATACTCATAGAATAAAAATAAGTTTTTAAAAGAGAAAAAAAGAAGAAAGTTATTCCTGTGAGCAGTTGGAACCTTGTCTTAGAAACAGCACAGGACATGTCCCAGAGTAACTCCATCAGAGCGAGGGAGCTGGGGTGTATTTATGTAACTTCTCCCATCAGTCACTGGTAGAGGCCAAGGACACAGAAAGAGGACAGTGACCAGATCTACAACATGACCCATATCCTATAGCTAAAAAGTGACAGAGATGAAGACAAACTCCCAACACATTATAGCTATAAAAAGGAGTAGTTAACTAAACAAGCACAACTGAGTACCAGCCATTGGTAAAACCACACAGTGATGGAATATGCCTACTTTGCCGATAACTCAGACACAGCCAAAGAAAGCATGAGGTATCTTTCTGTCAGCTGTTCAATGCAGGAAGGGGGCCTTGGAAATCATTAGAGTCAGCCACATTTGGCCTTCACTCTCTGGTTCAGCCACAGTTGCCTTGAGCAAGGGGTCCAAAGCACTATTACTAACTACTAACCCAAACAACAGCATCAAGTTGTCTTCACCCAAGGATGACCAGCAGTGACCCCCTCAGGGGAGGCTAAGTTCATTGCACCTGCTGCTCCATCCACTACCTTATAGGCCTATCCTCTGTAGATATGCAAACTGGCAGGCACAGGCTTAAGTGGGGAGCTTATCTGGCTTAAGGACTTTAAAAATTCTTCTGGGAGTTAGCTAGGCAGTGGTGGCATGTGGCTTTAGCCTTTAGTCCCAGCACTCAGGAGACAGAGGCAGGAGGATCTCTGTGAGTTCAAAGCCGCCCTGGTCTACACAGTGAGTTCTAGGACAGCCAGTGCTACACAGAGAAACAAAATAAAACAAAAAGCAAACACCCAAAATAAAAACTTCCAGGAGTCAAGGAGGTGTTTATATGTGGCAGTGTGTCAATTGGGGCAAATAAGCCATCAATCACATTGTGAAGGGTGTCAGGAGTAGTGGAAAATGGCATGAAGGACCCTGCCTTGGCATTATAAACACAGCTAGGGCAGCTCTCACCATCTAAGACTTGAGATCAGAAACAGGATAGGATCTGAGCAGATTTTCACGGGAGGAGGGGAGGCTTGGACAGGCCTTAAGGATATTCTTAGGACAACCCCTGCCCCCCCTGCTGCCCTCCCCCAGCCCCCTACCCCCAACACATTCCCTCTCAGCCTTTCCTTGGGACTGTGGCAGCCACACTCTGTGTTCTGAGCTATTCACCTCCATCTCCTCCCAAGCTAGGAGGACACCTCCTGCCTAAAAATCCACAAGAGGACTAAATGTAGCAATCAACTCAGATTCTTTCGTGATTGGACAGCAGGTCTCCCTTCTGGCAAGTCCCAAACTCTAGCCCAAATGAGAAGTAGAGGAGAGATGCCAAAAGTACGGCCCTGGGCACTTCTACTCAGGATCCTTAGCCACCCCTAAGTAACTTACAAACAGGACAAGGAGCCCGGCTCAGAGTGAAACCAGTGGGCCTCTGAGATGCTGCAGAAGGACCCAAACATCAGACAGAGTGAGGATGAAAACTGAAAACAAGGTGTGGCACTTACTGCCCTCCCCCTAAAATACCACAAAAGAGAGGCAAAGCAGGCGCCTCTGAAGAGGAGCCACTGAGATAGGGAGGGGTGTGCTTTGAAGGTCAGGAGCCCTGGGCAAAGTAAGGACGATGCTGGCAACAGAAACCACAGGTACAAGTACGAGAATGCTCCGACCAATCTAGCCCACCCCACAGGTGCTGGTGTCAGGATTCCGGTCTTCCAGCTGGGTTTCCCCAGGCTACTCCCTCATCGTTTGTGTTGGAGCCCCACACTTTGTTGTGTTTCTACAGCACTCTCCTACTTACTAAGGAAGGAAGGAATGGGGGTGGCTTCCCATGACCCCCAACACAGGCAATCCCCCCAGGTGGCCAGGCAGACTTCACACAGTTAGTTCCCTCTTGCACTAGGGCAAGAAACATACTTCCATAGCTCTCCAAGCTCAGCCACCATTTGATGTTTCTCTACCTGCCTGTGACCCTCTAGACTGCACCGGGTCCCAAAAATCAGGCTTTGTCCAAAGGAGAAAACTGTCCACACACAATGGCCCTACTCTAGGGTCCCTGAGCTCAATAGGGCACCGCTAAGGAAGACACTACCGTTAGTCCCCTAGGACTGAAAGCAAGGGCACAAGTGAACAAGGGATGAAAGGCGGACACTCTTCTCAAACTCAGTATAGCTTAGCCACAGGGGTTTCTTTAACCCTCAGACCACCTGTAGGAAAAGTTTCTGCTTAATATTTGTGGATTGAAAGTATGACAACTCAACCTCAGATTCCTCGTTCACATGCTCTTCAAAAAAGGTCCCCTGGCTGTTAGTAAGAACCGGGATTCCAATTCTTTCCTTCCTTCGCCCCAGGACCAGAGCCTGCCCTGACAACTTGTCATTTGTCCGCCGCTTCCTCGTGCACTCTACTTGTAGAGTGCTTACTGTAACCCTGGCCTCTGCTCTCCGGGAGAAGCGGTTCTAACCCCTTGGTTTCCAGACGCTTGGGTCTAAAGCGTGTACAACGTTGAGAAGCCTGGCGCTGACCTTGCCAATGAGGCACAGAGGTGCTGTGGCTGGTCCTGATCTGTCCCTGTCGGGACACCACCACTCTGCTGTCTTCTGGATGCTGCCGGGATAGAGCTGAGTGCAGAGTAAGCACTCGAGATGCACTTGCAGCCGGGCAGCCTTTTGAAAGCACCTGCCTAGCTCGGCCTCCAGCGACCTCAGGCACTAGCTCTCGAGGGGTCACCAAAACCGGGAGCGGGAAGTGCGCTTAAGCACTGCGTGCCTGAAACTCGGAAAGGCCAAGGGGGCACGGGATCACCCCGGGCCAACGCCCTGGGGACCAGGGGGCGCACTACAGTCCGACCCTCGCCTAAGCTACCCAGGCCTGCACCTGCTGTCCCGTTCCACTACGCCAGGGAGTTCGGGACACCCTGCTCCGGGAGGGGGCACTTTCCTACCACTCCATTTGGGTCGACCGCAGGAAAGACTTCAAGGGTTCAGAGAGGCTGGATGAACTCCAAGCCACAACTTTCTACCCGGGAAATCTAGTGGGCTGGGGCGCCCGCCTGCGCAGCTCCTGAGACAGACCGCACGCCTAGGACCACCTTGTGGCTCCGGGAAGGGCTGACGAGCCGGGACAGGAAATATTCAGGGGCCGGGCCGGGCTGGCTAAGGGCCCCCGAGGGAAAACTTTGGGCTGGGTAAGGGGAGACAGGACCGCCAGCGCACGCACCTTGCGTCCGCATCCCGCGCCAGTACCGGGTTCTTCGCGCCCCGCGCCTAGTGTCTTGCCTGCGTTCCGGGCCAGCTGTATCCGCGCGCGCCGCAGGGGTTGGAAAGTGGGGGTGCCGCTGCGGGGATGGGGGTGTTCCAGCGTGCTTGGCCAGCGATCCGCGAGACCCGCTAGCTTGGGCCGGGCTGGGCGGCGACAGCGCGACTGGGGGCGGGCGCCCCGCCCTCCTGGCCCCTCCGCCCCGCCTCCCCGAGCTCTGCCTTTATCTGCCGATCCCTGACCAACCCACTCGTCACCCTCATAGCTCTCCTCCACCCACCCCTCTTCTCTCGCCTTTCTTCCCTCCTCTCCCTCCCCTCTAGGGGGCGGAGCTTGTCCCCTCCCTACAAGACAGACAATGCTGTGGCTTCTCGTAGCCCCCCCCCCCCGCCACGCAGCTCACTTCCCTCCTTTGCCCCCCCCAAACAGATAGCGCGGGCTGCCCGCGTTTCTTCCGGACCCGCTGGAGTGGATGAGGAGGGGGCGGAGGCCGCGGGTGAAGAGGATAAGGTGGCTGCCTCCTCTCACCCCATTGCGCCTGCCCTCTCCAAGCGGCGTGGAGATTTGGCCCAGACTCTTAGGCTCTCCTGGCACTGGGACAGTCAGTTCCAGGGAGCAGCCCGCCTAGAGAATGCAGATTTCCTAGCAAAGGATGTGCAGTTGATGGGGTGGGGTGGGGTTTCTTTTCTAACACCCGAGCTCATTCCCAAAAGGGTTTGAGCCGCTAAAGGGCAGAGTGGGCCCCTTCGACTTTGCAAGCCAGCAGACGTGACAGTAATGTGAAGGAAGTCAAGTTTCTTTGTCCATACCCCCCCCCCCGCCTCCTCCTCTTCTCCATCTTTAGACCTCAGGAAACCTAGTGCATAGGAAGAAGCACCCAGCTGCTGATTCTGTAACCTCTCACCAAAATTCTGTCTACACATCCCGGATCTTGCAGTGGGCCCCTAAACCAAAGGGGAAGATTACCTAACAGTTAAAAGAAAGAGTGGCCAAACCCCAAAGTGCGGGCCAGCGCATCCCGCCTGCCTGGAAGCCAGATATTCTCTACTAAACTCATTGTTTAGATCTTGGAATGTGTCTCCCATAGAAACAATGTTATAAACGGCCTTCCTTTCCCAGGCCAGCCACAAATTTGCTGAACCCAAAGCGCAGCTGTGGGGTGGTGCTGGAAACGGCCCACTATACTGAACAAGAAGGCTACTGATCAGCTTTTTCTACAGTGGAAAAAAAATTGGATAAATGCATCTTTCCCCTTGATCTATAAACACAAACTGGCACCACTAACTTCTCTCGCGCGCATTAGTGGGTAGTAGGTAAGTTGCTTTCCTTCACAGGTATGAGGACCCCAGGAGGAATGTACTCTGAGGATATGGTGTTCCTCAGGTTAGAACTGCAGGGAGAACTGAGTAAATCTCCAGGAAGCCTTCTCTGAGGGTTCTTTCTTCTCTTTTAACCTGCACTTCCATGACCTCAGAAACGGGACAAAGGGTAGCCATGACTCCTAACAGTACGGCTCTGGCTTTGCTGTTCAAGAAGGTGTAAGGTACTACTAAAATCCTGTTGAGTCAAGTGGCTATCTCATAACCAATCATTTGGCTTCCCACCAGTTAGGGGGTAAATGCCTAATGCCAGAAATACTGATCCCCAGCCCTGTTTAAATCCAAATCTGCCAGGCCTGGTGGCATACACCTATAATCCCGGTGCTCAGGAGGCCGAGACAAGACTATGAATTTGAGATCATCCTGTGCTACAAGTGAGACCTTTGAAAAGCACCTCGGTGAATACAGTTGAGTGGTAATCTGAGTCACTGGAAACACCGTCTTTTCCCCATAGTGAAGGTGCAGGAGAGAAGACTGGTCCCTCATCCTTCCAGAGAAGACAGGTGATGGATGCATCTGGGCTGGGGGTAATATTTCCCAATAGGAAACATACATGGAATCTTTACCTTTCAACATTGCAGATTTCCACATACAAAGACTGGGCCGGAAGGCATATTGCCTGTGAAAGAGGCGGAAGAGCATTGTCTAAAAGAAACTGCCCCCTAAAATTGGTACCAAGCCCAGTGGTGGTGGTGGTGGTGGTGGTGGTGGTGGTGGTCGCCTTTGGCCCAGCATTCGGGATGCAGAGGCAGGAGGATCTCTGTGAGTTCAAGGCCAGTCTGGTCTACACAGTGAGTTCCAAGACAGCCAGGACTACACAGAGAAACCTGTTAGACTTAGGGATGAGAGAGCGAATGATGACAACTCAAGCTGCCAGAAATGTCTTTAGGAAGGCAAACCCAGGCTCTCTGGGGGCAGTTTTGATTTTATTGGTTGTGCTGAGAGTTTCTGACTCCTTGCCAGATTCCAAGGGAAGAGGCTTTATTGCCCCTCCCTTGTTCTCTTGATTTCCTGCCTCTCTACCCTACCTGTCACCACAGTCACAGCTCCTCTTTTCCTCAGATGTTTCCTTGAGGCCAATGAAGGCCACACAGTTCAGGAGGTCTGAGGAGGCAAGCTAGGCTGGAAGCGATACTCAAATGGTCTATCCCCAGCCCAGTCCCCCAGCCTCAGATAGGACAGCTCTAAGGTGCATTAACCCTGAGGGCCTGAGCCCTAGAGGCCCACAAGAATAGTAACTCATCTATTCATGCACCCCAGGCAGCAACGCTCTTGTCTATACCCTCACTGTCCTTCCTTCACTCTTGCTTTCTGGGTCCTAAGTGATCTGTACCTAAGTCTACCCTTGCCTCACAATCTAGCTTTACTTAAACTTTTGCACATCTGTGGTGGCCTGGGAATTATGGTGTTCCCCCAGTAAGTTAAACCCAGGCCCTCCCCCCACACCGTGTAATCGTGGGGAACATATCTTCCCATCTCCTGGCATACCACCTCTCCAGATGCTAGAGTTAGAGCTGTAGGATATTGCAAAACTTATTTTCTTTCTGTGGGTGTCCTACATTTCTGCCTGTGTTTTGCTAATGAAACCATCCACTATGGAAGCCACCAGCCCCATGCCATCCTGATGTGGAGGCTTCCAGTCACATGTAGCTATTGAATTGGCTTGTATTCTTTTTGTTGCCTTCCCTCTTCCTTTTTTTTCTACTTTCTTTTCTTTTTCTTTTTGGAGATAGAGCCTCACTATGTATCCTTGTCTGGCTTGGAACTCACTGTGTAGAACAGACTAGCCTTGAACACTTAGACCCACCTGCCTCTGCCTCCCGGGACTAAAAGTGTGCATCAGCTGGCTGGTGTTCTTAGTACTGAATTTTTATTTACTCAAAACTCAAACTAAAATTTAGATTTTGCTTCTCAGTTTTTACTAGATAAACTTTAAGTGTATTTGACCCACTCAGGTATGTGAGTCTACTTTTCCAACTAGACATTTTAGAAAACAAAACTACAGATTGAATTTTTTTTCTTCTTTTATTTTTTATTATTTGTTTTGTTTATTTTGGAGGCAGGGTTTCTCTGTGTAACAGTCCTGGCTGTTCTGGAACTCACTTTGTAGATCAGGCTGGCCTGGAACTCGCTGAGATCCACCTGCCTCTGCCTCCCAGATGCTGGGATTAAAGGTGTGCACCACTGCCTGGCTATTCTTTTATTTTTTGAGATTATATAATTACAGTATTTCTTACTTTCCTCTTATCCATACTAATCTTCTCTTTCAAATGCAAGGCTTCTTTTTAAATTAATTGTTGTTAAATGCACACATACATACATACATATATATTCATAAATATGTAAATCAGTTTGAGAATTTTTTTATTTCTTTGGTTTTGGTTTTCTTTTTTTTTTTTCTTTTTTTCTTTTTTTTGAGACAAGGTTCTTTGTGTAGTTCTAACGGTTCTATAACTCACTGTGTAGACCAGGCTAGTCTTGAACTCATAGAGATTAGTCTGCCTCTGCCTTATGAGTGCTGGGGTTAAAGGTGTGTACCAGTACTACCCAACAAGAAATTTTTAATGAAAATTTAGCATCTGAATTATACTGAAGTATAAACATACTCATTTCACCCTAACTATAAAAATCAAATGTAAAATACTTCATGAATAATTTCTTTATGTGCTTACGATTTTTTATATTATGTATTTATGGCTGTTAGAAATTCATACCATGGGTCTTGTGAGGAACCCAGGGCCTTATGCATAATAGACATGTGTTTTCCTTCTGAGCTATAGCCCCAGTACTTGGCACCATTTTTGTTTGCTTTATTTTTGTTGTTGTTTAGTTTTTCAAGCCAGTCTCAAGTACTCTGTTACAGCAAAGGGAACTGGTATAAGATGCCAACTCTGGGGCTAGGGAGATGGTTCCCTGTATAAAGTGTTGGCTGTGCAAGCATAAGAACTGAAGTTTGGATCCCTGGATTTGTATATGACCTTGTCCAAAGACCTTTGGGACTTTCCCACCTAGCCGTCCCTGTGCCCGCAGAGCTCCAATCATTCAGCATAGTGGTATTTTCACATGCATGGCTCGAGTCAGAATGGACTGGCAAAATTTAAATTCACAGCTGTTAGCATGACCCCATCTGTTCTCACAAGCTGGAGAGACCCAGAGAAATCTGAGAAGTCAAGATTTTGTCAGTGAACTCTCCCAGCGTTGCTTTCATGAGGAAGGCCTATCTTAATTAAGAGTCCACTTTATCCAAGGCGAGCCATTTCCATGGTGTCTAAAATATTTATGTGGCACAGTATCTGCAATCAACCTTGAAGACGAGGAGCAGAGCAGCTTAGAGTTCCCACACATTCCCACACAGAAGCCCTAGCTTACCAGATGCCCCCTCCTCACTTGAAACACAAGCAGATCCAGTAAAAAGCAAAGGATCATGGGTAGATCACCTGGAACTTTTTGAGCACTCCCCGCAATATCTCTTTTCACAGGAAGTATTTGGGAATGAGCCTTAAGACTAAACTGACAAGCCACCCTGCTAAACAACCTGCTTATTAAACACACGGTACCCAAGCTGTTTCTAAGCAGAGGGAATACTCCATAGACTTCTAGGAAGGGCTTCGAATTTCCTTGACCCTGGAGTATGGCGTGAGTCCATCCAGATGGAATGAGCACTCACAACTGCATCAATGCTTATTTGTGAGATATCAGCAGTATATAGGCGAAAGATAGGAAAAGCGAGTGTCATGAAACCAAGAAGGAGCATCTTGTAAAGCCATGTACTAGAGTGGGAACAGAGCAAAGACTTACAGAAATCAGGTCACCTCGCCGTTTGCTTATAGACACAAAAGTCCAAGTGT